GCATGTCTTATACATGGTTAACAATTTTTTCCAAATCCATTTTTTGATGTCTACTTTTTTTCATACACATTGTACATTATTGTATACATATGAAATATTATTTTTATACACATTTCATTTTTCAAACACATGATTAACAATTTTAGGAAATAGATGTTTTGATGTCTATTCCTTTTCATACACATTGTACCTTTTTCTGTATACACCGGAAACATTATTTTTATACACAATTAGCATTTTTCAAATATATGATTAACATTTTTTCCCAAATACATGTTTTGATATTTATTCTTGTTCATGCACATTCGTATATTTTTTGTATTCATCTGAAACATTATTTTACACACATTTAACATTTTCAAATACACGATTAACATTGTTTTTTCAAATATTGTTTTGATGTCTATCCTTTTTCATACACATTAGTGCATTTTTTGTATACTACGGAAACATTATGCTTATACACATTTAATATTTTTTAAATACATGATTAACATTTTTTTCAAATACATGTTTTGATATCTATTCATATTCATTTTTTGTATACATCATATACATTATTTTGATACACATTTAACGTTTTCGAATCCATGATAAACATTTTTTGTCAAATAAATATTTTGAACATCTTTTTGAATACACAGTAAAAATTTCCACAATATGTATTCGCACATTTTTTAATGGCATAAACAAGTTTTGATACAACATGAACTTTTTTAAAGGTATAAACATTTTTTAAATTGTCGCAAACATTTTCTGAAACAGGAGAATATTTCTTTAAAATGTCACATACATTGCTTAAATGGCAATAAACATTTTTTAACCTACACGGACTCATTTTTTTAGTTGTACAAAACATTTTTTATATTACACAAACATTTTTTTACATTGTATGCACATTCCATAAAAATTGAACTTACATTTGTTTGAAACACTGGGACAATTTTTCATTGTCATGAATTTTTTTTCATAAGCTATCAACATTTTTTGAATTTGTGTTAACATTTTTAATATATTTTTTAAAAATAAAAATTTAAAAGGGAAAAGAGAAAAAAGAAATTGGCGTGACATCATCATGACGTTAGCATCACCAAACGAGGTCCCTGCTTGTCCGGCCCATCACCATCTCCTATAGGCAGCTGAACGAGCGAGGCATAGTCACGCCTGTCAATAAGAGCATACAATAGGGAGCAGCTATTCTGCACTCAGGATCATCTACACCCGGGTGTGAACAGTATATTCAAAACAAATAGTAAACAATTTCAAAAAATCTGAATGTTTAGGTATCCAAGATGCTCAAGGTGCGTGCAAAATTTTGAGGAGTTTGGACATTTGAAGAGCTCGTGCCAAAATAAAACAAAATCCAGGTGTCTTAGAAACTTTGAAAAAGAACACTATTTGTAGCGATTTTTTTTTGGCACGGGCTCCTCAGATGTCCAAACAATCTGAAAATTTGCACGCGCCTTGCCTACATGAGCATCTTGGATGCCTAAAAATTTCAGATTTTTTTGTTTTTCTATTTACTATTGTTTGAATTTACTATTCACCGGGTGTAGATGAGTCTGGGCACCGTTTTGAATTATCGCATACAATAGGAGTTCCCTGCCTTCGGTGGCTAACTTGAGTGGATCATTGGCTTAGGCTGAGGTCCTTATTCTTTTTCTCTAAAATAATGGGCTAGTTGCTACATTAACAAAGTACGTAGTACCATGTTAAAATGAGCAGTCGTAGTAGAGACGGTGTGTTCTTTGTTGGGTTTTTTTTGTCCACGGTGTCTAGTGGAGGCCAAGGGAGAGACATGACACACGAGCACAGCACCTTCAATAGCATTCTGGTGGAGCAATAGCATTTCACCTGGAAACAAATGGAAACTACAAGATGGCCGGTCCCATTTTATTTTTGATATACATTTTGAAGAGGGTTTTTTTTGCATTTTTTAAATAGTGGATGAACACGGGCAGGAGAGCGTCCGACTCCGCTCTTTTCAGATGGTGCCATCCCACGGTCAGAGGAGTGCAGGGTGTGGTCACCGTGGCGACAGATACGGCTCTGCCGTAACAAACCCGTTAGGGCATCTCCAACGGGAGATGCTAAGAGGGGGCGCTAGGAATTTAATCCCGGCTGATCGGCGGTTACGTTGTCGAATCCCAGCGCCTTGTCTAGTATCGGTGCAAAGGAAGGCACCGAGCGCTTGCTTATTTTTTAACGTATGAGACAACCGGGCCTTTCTTTCTAATTATCTGTTATTCAAGATCCCGCTACTAGCGCCAACCTTGGAGGAGCGAGCGCTAACTTCCTAGGATATTTTTTCCCACACGATAAGCTTGGAAAGTCCTCCCCCTCCTACACCTCCTCCTCTGTTGAGCTTGGCAAAGCTCTGCCGAAGAACCACGAGCTCCACCACTATGCTGTCATGCTGCCGGAGTTCTCCCTCAACTTCTCCTTCCCCCTTGCTGGATCAAGAAGGAGGAGACGTCCCCGGGCCGTACGTGTGTTGAATGCGGAGGCGCCGTCCGTTCGGCGCTAGGATCGGATCTTCCGCGATTTGAATCGCAGCGAGTACGACTCCATCAACCGCGTTCTTGTAACGCTTCTGCTTAGCGATCTTTAAGGGTATGAAGATGCACTCCCTCTCTCGCGTTGCTAGCATCTCCTAGATTGATCTTGGTGACACGTAGGAATTTTTTTGAATTATTACTACGTTCCCTAACAGGAATATCATGTTCACTCCATGTGCTTGGGCGGGGTGGTGTGTTGTTGAAGGTCCAGCCGCACTCGCCTTTGCTAGAGCCGGTATTGCTTCCCGCATCCAAGATGAGGGCGGAACGTAGAGCCATACGGTGTCGCCGTATCAGTCGAAGGTGAATTCGAGGCTTCCGAGGAGAGGGTTCCGACGAGGGAGGGCAGCGTGTCGTCGTAGAGCCGACCTGCCCCATCGGCGGTTAAACTGAAGGAGCCGAAGGTGAAGCTCTGGCCTAGTGTGCCAACTGACGGTACCGGAAACCATCAGTAGTCTCGATAGGGTGGTGCGCAGAACTGGAAGTACTAGAGGGGACCGCACATGAGGAGTTACCTAGGTTCGGGCCCTCACCATAGAGGTAATACCCTACTCATGCCTCGTATACAGCTCATCTTCATCTCCAGTTCCATAGCCGAATAGAGGTATAAGTAGAGCACCATGACCACCACGCCCAGGCCCAGCTCGCTGCTGCTGCCAGTAATCCTACTAGTCATCCTTGCCGCCGCGGCCCAAGCTCAAGGGGAAGGGGAAGGGGGTTGCCTCCACAAGTGCGGCGACATCGACATCCCCTTCCCCTTCGGCATCGGCGTCGGCACGGGCTGCTTCCGGCATGGCTTCGAGGTCGCTTGCAACCACTCCTCCCATTCGGATCCCCCTCGCGCCTTCCTTGCTGACAAGTCAACATTCAAGGCCGAGGTTTACAGCAACGACTCCCAGGCCTACAGTTATTATTCGAGGTCGCCACTTGAGCTGGCGAGCATATCAGTCGCCACGGGCGAGACACGAGTGTACACCGCGGTCTCCTACCGCTGCAACAGATATCTCAACTCCTTGTCCATGGTCCAGGAAATGAATTTCAGTGACACGCCGTTCGCCGTGTCGGCGACGCGTAATGTTCTCATCGGCGTCGGCTTGGAAGCCGAGGCTGAACTGAATTGGTTTCTGGCTAACGATCCCAGGGCCAGTTTCACTTGCAGTGTACAAGGTGGCATGTTGACCTGGCGGCACGCGAGGGACGGGTCCCGATCCCGGACGACGAGCCGAGCTCCGCCTACAAGTTTTTCAAATTGTTGTCCAACCCCACGGACGACATCTGGTTGTGGAAAACCTACCCGTGCACCTACGGCATGCTGGTGGACAAGTCATGGTACAACTTCTCTACGACGGACATGTACGACAACAAGACGCTACTCCAAAGGTTCCCCTGGGGCGTCTCCCTCGCCCTCGATTTCGCCGCCGGGAACACTTGGTGTCCGGCGGAAGGACAGCCGCTGCCTCCGGACTATGCCTGCGTCAGCGGCAACAGCTCATGTGCCAATGCAACATATACTCCTGGCTATATCTGCAAGTGCTGGGACCATTACGCTGGCAACCCATACATTGCTAACGGATGCCAAGGTACATATGATATTACATACTCCTGCATTCATACATACATACATACATACATACATACATGCAAGAAACTGTCCGTTACCAATTCGTAACTCCCAAAAGTGTGATGTTGATTCTTCAGACATTGATGAATGCAAGCTCCCGGAAGTGTATCCATGCTCAAATGGCGGGATCTGCAAAAACACGCTGGGAGGCTATGACTGTCCATGCAAATACGGAATGAAAGGCGATGGCAAAGGAGGGACCTGCACAGATGTATTCCCCCCAGAAGCAAAGGCGGCTGTTGGTAAGCTACTACTACACTGCACTAATTAAGATGTATCCCCCTGTTGCAGGCCAATCTAGATCATCAACATAGAAACACATGTATGACATAGGCACTGCCTGTGGATCTCTTGCCGCATATCTATACCTAATAATAAAGGGAGGAAGACTTCTTTCTTCTCCTTCCGTCATCCTTTTATATTCGTTAATTTTGTGTTAACCATAAAGATTGACAACTGAGATTTAAAAGGATTTATCGTCTGTCGCTCCATCGCTCATTTTCTTCATACGTCATCCATCTACATCTTTTTCGTCATTCACGGTAGAAGCCCAATTGAACAGACCAGAAAGGAAACCTTACCGGATTGAATCGGCATCCAATATCGTCTCTTGCCCTGATTGGTTCTTCTTTCCGCTGCACACAACATCTCCATATATACACATATCTATACCTAATAATAAAGAAGTTGCAATAAAGAAGCCGATCAATGGTAGCGTGCGAGAGAATGAACAATTTGCAAATGAAGTCATCATCCAATCTCAAGTCATCCACAAGAACATTGTTAGGCTCATTGGTTGTTGCCTTGAAGTTGAAGCCCCCATGCTGGTCTACGAGTTTATCTCCCAAGGTAGCCTCCATGACATTCTTCACAACAAGAATAACAAGGCGGCTCTCAACTTGGATGCACGTTTAAGTATCGCTGCACAGTCAGCAGATGGTCTAGCTTATATGCACTCACAAGCAAACACTAGAATTCTACACGGTGATGTCAAACCAGCAAATATACTCTTGGATGATAACTTTATAGCCAAGATTTCAGACTTCGGCATATCTAGATTGCTTGCGAGAGACAAGAAACACACTGCATCAATCATCGGCGACATAAACTATATGGATCCGGTATATCTACAAGAAGGCCTACTAACCGAAAAAAGTGATGTCTACAGTTTCCGAGTTGTGATCCTGGAGCTTATCAGTGGCAGGAGGGCCATACATTCTGAGAATAATAGCTTGGTAAAGAGTTTCCTTGAAGTCCATAAGGAACAGAAGAAAGCGACCGAACTTTTTGACAAGGAAATTGCAATAGCAGAAGATTTAGAGCTTCTTGATAGTCTAGCAGGTATGGCCATGGAATGCCTTAGCCTTGATGTAGATCAAAGACCAATAATGATGGAGGTAGCTGGGCAACTACACATACTGAGTCGATCTCGTAAGGTGCAAGATGTTTGACAAAATTAATCCTTAAGGAGGTGTCTTTGGTTAGGAGAAAATCTGTAACTGCATTTCTAAGGTAGCCAAGTGTTTGTGCACTGCATTTGTAACCGTATTTCTAAGGAGGCAGTACGCTTGTATGCTGCATTTGTAACCGTGTGTCAAAGAACTACATTTTTTTTTCCAAATTTGTAACTGTGTTACAGATAGTACGTCGTATTTTCTTGCACCTGCAGAGTTTCAACGTGCTTTACAGGTTGTATGAAAAACCTTTGCCTCCTTTTCCCCCTCACTTTCTCTCACCTGTCCCGTGCTGCATAATTAGTATGCTCACCGTCATGTTTAATGAGGTAATCGTATTCAAATAGTACTTGCTATCGAATATTATCCAACACGCTGAAGAGCAAGTCCGTATTGTCTGAGAAAATCTCAAGGCGGCTCAGGACCGCCAGAAGAGCATTACGATCGCAAACGAAGGGGTTTGACTTATCAACCTGGTGATCAAGCTTATCTGCGTGTCACTCCTATGAAGGGCACTCACCGCTTCGGAATCAAGGGCAAGTTAGCTCCACGCTACATTGGTCCTTTCCGCATTATTGCTAGACGTGGTCAGGTGGCATATAAATTGGAGTTGCCGCCGGAATTCTCTCATATCCATGACGTCTTCCATGTGTCGCAACTTCGTCGTTGCTTCAAGGAATCTCCGCACCGACCAGTGGATCATGAATTGCTCGGATTCGGAGGTGTGGTGGAGCTCTGGGCGAAAGTCCAGCCCTGACTTTGGGTCGGTGCCGGCAACGGCGGCGCCTTGGCGTCGTTCCCCTTCTTGAAGGCGTTGTCGTGGAGCTCCATTACACGACTCTCCGGGATAAATCTCTAGCTTCGGATGGTCGAAGCGGGCAATGACGGCGGCTACGTCGTTTCCTTCTTTGAGGCATCGCCTTGGAGAGTCAGCATAATGCAGTTTGCACGGATCTCTTCGTCATCAGGGACAGTGGAGTTGGGGCGGCGGCTCCGGGTGGTTTCTGATTGTGCGCCGAGATGGCGATCTCAGGAACAATGTGAGTGGCAGCTCTATGAGGTGGGGCTCTATCTCGACATTGGTTGGGTGGCATCCTTGTCCCGCTTGGGCGGTAGGGTCAATGCGCCCCAGAGGGCAAGTAGACAGCAAAAAAGACAGATAGATCCAAACTTTGCATGCTACTGACTGCATTCATCATCAGATTTCTTTCCTTTCCTTTCCTGGAGCTTGCAAGCAAGCACAAAGGGATCAATCAGTCTTGTTCCTCTTCTTCTACACTAAAGAATGATGAATTACAACATACACAAAGTTGCGACACCGTAAACTTAATTTCTGTGTCATCCTACTAATTGCGACACCGTTTTTCTTCTTTCTCATGTGGATCACGTCCCCGTTCCTTCCCGGGAGCGTCTCATGCTCTCGTCCATCAGCTTGAACGTCTTCTTCACAAGCTTCTGGTCCAGCGCCGTCGTTCTGTAGATCTTGAACACCCGGTCGACACGCTCGGGCTTGCTGCTCTGGAAGTAGACCTCCTCAAACTTCTTCTTCACGAACCTGCACTCACTCATAGTATCATAAGCAAACTGACTGAAACTAATAATGTATTTTCCTCTCGAATATGCCAAATTTGTTGAGGACTGTGTGCACTCACTCGTAGGCATGCTCCACATCCTGTTTGCCAGGCGCGATTGGCTCATAGTCCTTAAACCACTCGCACACGGTCAAAGGAACCTTTTGTATTTTCCTCTCGAATATGTCAAATTTGTTGAGGAACAGCATGAAGGATGTTTTCTGGACCGATCGAAAGCAACATCACATCAAGTAGAGTAGGATCAGGATCAGAAATACTCCAAAATAGCTTCAATTCTTTGCTTTAAAACGGGAAATTTGAGACAGACCTCAAAACATGTTTGCTTTAACACCCAGTCGAACAGCTCCTTGGTCTCCATCATCCTGTTCTGCGTCTCATCCTCAAATAACAACTGATCGTACCTGACAGACAGTAACAGCCTCCAAACATCTATTCATGTATTCATGTACTCAGTGCAGCACAAGAAAATGAGATTGTTGTACTCACTCGCTAATGGCAGCACAAAAGATAACTGCATCAACACCTTCAAAGAGATGAATCCACTTCCTCCTCTCATTCCTTTGACCCCCTACGTCGTACAGCCTGTACACCTCTCCGCCCCTTTTGCTCTCTCCAAGGGGGCTGCATGCACAGACAGAAACTCTCTTCAGTCTGTCATTCTGTATGTATGTATCTGAGCAGAGCAAAAGATGATATATGCAAACCTAAATTAACCAGATTACCTAAACTGAATTTCTACAACCCCACTTGTCCGCACTCTTGCATGGAGCACATCCTCCTGCAAAGCATCTCGAAATGTTAGCAGAGAAAAAAAATCTGGCCATCATTATATCTATCCATCTGATCTGATAACCAGTAAATAAATGTCTCCAGATAAGAATTTGATTGTGGATAATTACAGACCGACCTTTGTTGGTACGTAATCTGCTTCAGCTAATCGGTCCAAATTGTCCATGAAGTAGTGTGCACAGTCAGGAACTTGCAGCACACTTCCACACGAGTAAGTTTCCTACACAGTAGATGCATTTCTTTATAACTAAGTTGGTTGTTTGACGTCATTCACATCTCTTTACAGAAACCGAAACAAAAACCTGAATGGCTTGATCTTCCCATAATTTTCTCACATCCTGTACGAGTTCTTTGTTAAGCGAAGGGTAATCCAACCTCCCTCCGATTTCTGATAGTTTTTCTCCAATCTCCTGAAGATAGGATAGGAAAATCAAAGGAGCAGAGCAATACATAAAAGGGAAAAGTATTCGACAGTTGGATATGTATTCGAGAATGACAGTGGAAAAGCAGCAAAACACAATACTGCCTGCTTAAAGCAGGGTGTTTACGGGTCTGAAGAGGTTCATCTAGATCTAGTGCAGCAGAGCTGCAATGCGAGGTCTGAAGAGGTTCGATTGTAGCCCTAGCTACAGTAGTTGTAGTTGTGTAACAAACAGATGATGGTTATCAGTTTGAAATAGAAACTGCTGCTTGCTTGCTCTCTGGACAATAATACTGCTTAACAAGGAACTGCTGCTCCAGTTGTAAATTGTAGCAGATGATGGTTATCATGTTGCAAGATATTACATCATGTTGTAAGTTGGACAGGTTTGGTTGAACATAGCCTAGCCTAGCTGGTTGTGTAACTGTAATGCTGCTTCAGTTGTAACAGAGCACAGTTATCATGTTGCTGCGAGACATTGGTGTTGCTTATGTCGGAATCCACCAAATGTAACTCTACTACTTACTGAACAAAATAGGATGCACGGACCTGATTATCGGGTAATATCACATATTTTGAAGACTCGGATTCCACTTGGGCAAGCTCTTTAGCTCCATCATATAGTATCTGTGCAAATTCAACTCACTATTACTCAGGGAAAATATGTGCAAAACACACAGGCCCCCATAAGAAGATGATAAAGCTGCCTACATGATCCCCACGAAGCAATAGGAGGAAGAGGGAAAAAAAACCATATATATTAAAACACACCCGTTCCAGTAGTAGGAGCATACTTTGATTGTCTGGAACACGTTGGCATGGATGACGGGCGTATAGCCCTTGAGTTCTGCCTCGTCGAAGCCGGTTCGGAAAAGAAGCTTGATCTGAAGATAAACAAACAAACATTCAGTAAACGTAAGGCATCATACTATATTTCCATGGGGCCATGGGGCAGGGAAGGATAATACAATACAATGGAGGGGTTCTTGCCTGTTTAAATATCGTGGACTTTCCTGATTCTCCGGCACCTGAAAAAGACAGAAAGCATCGGCATCCTATTAGGAATCGTTCGGTCCTGATTCTGAAGCAAAGCAGGCTAAAGAAGAGAGCTAACTATCGGGAATTGGTTCAAGTAATGTTTGTTTTCAGTGATCCCCATCATTAATGAGAAAGCTTGCAAAAAAAATTCAAAAATCAAAAACAAAGGAGATACACAAATGAACTTGGTTAGAAAGATATAGTTCAGTGAAGCAGTAAATTCAAATTGTGAAGATAAAATTGAGACTAGCAGGCATAAGAAGAAATGCGTGTAAAAGTTAAAGTGAGTTGGCAGTTTAGTTACCAAGAAGCAAGAGCTTGTGGATGTGCTGGTCCGCCTTTGTCTCGTGCAGAATGCGGCGGTCGATGTCTGCAGACTGTAAAGGTGGATCGAGGTGTGTGTGTGTGCATCAGGACAGGACAGGACAGGAGAGGAGAGGAGGAATTGAATGAAATGAAGAGGTCTAGTAAGTGGTATGGAAAGGATGAGCTTACTCACTCTTGTGTTGTCAGCTGCGTCTGCCTCATTTACTGAGTGAGGTCTGCTGCAGGATGAGCCCATGGTTTGAAGCGCACACGCGAGCATGGACATTACTATTATTATTCTAGAAGACAAGATGTGCGGTCGGTCTCATGCTTCCTTGCTTGCCAATGACCTGAAAGATAAGATGACGGGCAAGTAAGATCCAGAGACCTCTAAATAAAACTACCTAGTTATAGCTTTCATTTCCTTTCCTTTGCTTTCCTTGGTAGGAGTACAGTACATTTACAGTAGAGTAGAAACAAATCAAGAAATCAAGAAAGAAAGAAAGAAACTGCACGGCGGGCGGGCGGATCTACTCACTGAGCTAGCTAGCTACAACCAACAAGCTGTGTTTTTTATTTATTTATTTATTTATTTTCCGAGTGACGAAAAGAGATGAGAGATAGAATGAATCTGAATCTGAATCTAGGCTGGCTTGCTTGCTGCTCATACATACCTCAATCGAATCCGATCCGATCCAAGAAGGCCCAACCCAATCCAATCCAATCCAATACAAGGGGAGGGGAGTGGAGGGGAGGGGCGGGGTGGAGACGGCAGGGGGGAGCTTCTGGGCGGCGGCGGCGGCGGCGGGTGGTTTGTAGGGAGGGAGGAGGAGAGATTGGTTTGGTAGGTCAGTCAGCGTGAGAGTGAGAGTGAGAGTGAGGAACCAAAGTGGAGTGGAGTGGAGTGAGAGATCGGAAGGGAATGAATGCGTGCGTCTCCACTTTGGTTTGGTAGGCAAGACGAAATCCAAATCCAAAATACTACTCCTTTTTTTATGAAAAAAAATGAAACTACTAAAATCACCGTCACCAATAAAAAATTCCCAAACAGAACAAACAAAATCAAATACTACTGTATATATATAAACCTTTTAAAAAACTGAAATTCAGGGTGGTGCTTGTCTTAGAGCATCTCCAGCCGCACCCCAACAGGCCCCCCAAGACGCCGTTTTTTCTGCCGGCGCAAAAAAAAAAACCCAGTCGCGCCCTCAGGACGCCGAATTCCGCCGTTTCGG